CTGGAACCCAGGACTCAGAGAGTCTTGAGACCTTCTCTGCTTCCTGCTGCTGCGGGAGGCTCAGATAACTCTGTATCTCCTGGGGGGGTCTCAGGCCAGACCTGGACCCCTACAGGTGTGAACCCTGAGGACACCTCTTACCCATCCAGGGAGCAGCCAAAGCCTTTGAGTCCCACTTTGATGTCCCCCTTGGGGAGCAGAGAGCAGATCTTTCTTTCCGAACAGAGGACAGCTCAGAGCCTCTCATGGCACCAAGCAGAGGAAAAGCACATTAAGAGTTGAGTCCCAAAAAAGCACACCTCTCAGCTGCCTTAATCACACTGTTAAGCCCCCACCCCACAGCCTCAGTCAGTGCTCCTCCTCCGGAGTTGTGTGTGAGTGCTGGAGAGCTAACCTCAAACGCCCAAAAAAGACCGGGTGTGGCAGACAGCCCTCTCCACGGTGCTCCTACTCCTGATACCCACTCTGACCCTCTGGCCCCTGGCCTTAGATGCACAGAGTTCAACTAGGACCTGCCCTTTTGAAGCAACAACCCAAACATTTCACCCATTTTTCTCAACTTACCAGCTTAGGAACTTCACTCCTCAGTGCCTCGTATTCTATGACCCCAGAAAAGCTGACAAATGAATTCATAATCACGTGATGATTGTTGACGATTCCATTGTCCTCTTAGAAAAGGTTGGCTGTAGGAGTCACAGCTCTGGATCCGGTCCTAGCCCCAACATTTGGTTCTTGGTGACCGCCTCACTGCACCTGAATTTCCTTAGTAACTATAATGTGCCTTCAGTATGGTAGGTGCTCAGTGTTAACAGAACCTGAGCGATAATGCAAGCAGGTAGACAAATGTCCTTGGTGGTTAAGCCAAAGTCCCTGAATACCTGGAACTGAAAAACTTAGGATGCTTCCCCGTAGGTAATTCCAAATAATACTTGCTTTGTCAAAGTAATAAGAGGCTTTTTCAAGACAATGAAACTACTCTATGTGATACCACAATAGTGGACACATGTCATTATACATTTGTCCGTGCCCATAGAATGTACGACACCAAGAAGGAACCCTCATAATGTAAACTATGGACTGTGGGTAATGACAATATATTGATGTAGGTTCACCAATTAGAGCAAAGGCTCTGATGGAAGATGGGGACCTTTGGGGAGGCTGTAAATGTGGGCTGGCAGGGGATGTGAGGGAATTCTGTACTTTTCACTCAATTTTTTAAAAGATTTTATTTATTTATTTTTAGAGAGACAAGGGAGGGAGGGAGAGAAACATCAATGAGAGAAATATCGATGCCTCTCAAACGAGCCCTGACAGGGGACCAATCCCGTAATCCAGGCATGTGCTCTGACCAGGATTCAAACTGGCGACCTTTTGCTTTGCAGGGTGATGCCCAACCAACTGAACCACATGAATCAGGACTTCACTCAGTTTTACCCTGAATCTAAAAGGTCAAATTTATTAATTTTTAAAAATTACATAAAAGGTACAGCTAAATAAAATTAAAGTCTATGATTTCTAATTTTTTTAAGTTTCTGAAAGCTGGAGTTTCTTCTTTTTCTCTGTGTACCCTGCACTGCTGCTGTCCCCCACTCACAGGGTCATTCTGCACGGACCACCCACCTACAAGGTCAGGAAGGGTCAGGCTGTGGATTCCCCGCAGGTGTTCTATAATGATGCATTTGTGAGACATGTTCCATCTGCGGGAAAACGGAATATTCTGATCGATGGCTGATGTCTGTAAAAACACAATGTTCTCAAAAAGATAAGGATGTGTAAGTGATGTGCCAGCCCTTCAGAGAGATACCCAAAAGAGGAAGTGTGTAGAAAGGGGTCAGAATTAGAAAAGGTAGGGCCAAAATATGAGGTTATAATAAAAAGCCCAGGAGACCTAGAGACACTCTTGACCATGAAAAGGAGCCAGAGGGTGGAGATAGAAAACAGTAGAGTCCTACTGTCTGCAGAAAGGGGTGTGAACAGCCCTGCCCTCCGTCCCAGGTGTTTAAATAAAAGGAGAATGAGAGGGAGAGGGTTTAGAACAGTGACCAAGTCAGCTGGCCTCTGTCCCACACTGTCTACAGCACAACTGACTCAGATGAATCAATGAGTCACCCAGGAAAAGTGATCATATAGTTGGCATTCTCAGTTTAGGAGACTGTGTGAAATAGTTGGGAAGATTTTCCAATAAAAAATACTCAAGTAGAAAGATTCTAAAAGTAACAGACGGCAGTGGTCAGACTAGAGATACAGTTCCCATTTGTCCCAGCATTCCCACTTATGGGAATTTCTCCCACAGAAATTTCCTTGCACATGTGCAATGATGTATGTACAAGGTCATCCATCCACTTGCAATTGCACAAGTTTGGAAACCACGAGATTGTTCATCAAGTGTTGTCACCAAAGGAAAGTGAACTTATAGCCAGCATCCTCAATTTAAGAGAAAGTGTGAAAGAGTTTAAAAGATTTCTGTGATAAAAGCCCAGTTCTCCCAAGCTTTTTATGATCTCACACTTTTGTCCCTACCTTTTCAAATCTTGTCCCTTTTCTACCCACTTTCTGGTTGGGGTATCTCTTTGAAAGGCTACAGATCACTTACACATCCTTATCTTTCTGAGAACATTGTGCTTTTACACATCAACAAATGAGGGCACAGTCTTGCGATGGAATACTGCAAAACAGAACTAGGAAATGAGGATGCTCTCTATGTATTGACTGGGAAACATCTCTAAGATAACTTGCTTAGTCAAAAAAAATGGCCGAAAACTACAGTATGCCACTTCTGGGATAGAGGTTAAAGGGAAAACATTTTTAAACATGTTTCTGATTGTATTTTTAAAAAGATTTTATTTAATTATTTTTAGAGAGGGGAAGGGAGAGAGGAAGAGAGGAACAGAAACATCAATGCGCGGTTGCCTTTTGCGCACCCTCTACTGGGGACCCGGCCTGCAACCCAGGTATGTGCCCTGACTGGGAATCAAACCAGTGACCTTTCAGTTTGCAGTCCAGTGTTCAATCAACTGGGCCACACCAGTCATACTCTGCTTATATTTTCATAAAAAGTGGGTACCAATAAGGAGAGTGAGTTGAAAAATGTGGCTAGAGAAAAATACAAAGGTTTTTCACAGAATCTTGTTTCGTATTGTCTTGATTTTTTGAATTGTGTAATTAATGATTTGAAAATTTTAAATAACAAATGGTTCAGAGAATAGGGTAAATGTGAACAGTTGAGTCCTCACTTATCTAGAAATTTTCTTTCTACCTGATGAGTCCAGGTAGCAGGAGTTCACTGTATGTGTATGTTGTTGATTCTTCTTCAGCATTTTCCAAGTATTGAATTGTGGAAGTCACTGCCACCCCACCTCCAATATGAGCTTGGCATCCTGCTGCCCTTCATTTTAGAAGAAGAATCTGCTAGGGATGACCCAGGGGAGCCAGAAGCTTCTCCTCCAAGGCTTGAGGCTGCGGTTGCTCTCTTGTGCAACAAACAAGACACAGATGCATGACACTTTGGCCTGGAGAACGTGGGGCACAAGAGTCTGTGTGTGGGGAGACGGCTGGGCTTGCTGATTGCCAGAATCGAGGGGTGGGAGAGAATGGGGTACCGCTTATCGCCCTCCCACTCCTCCTGCCTCAGTCCAGCCCAGACGCCAGACCAGCATGTCTCCGCTCGACTAAAAGATGGGAACCTGGGACAATGCCACATGTTAGGGACCCCAAACACAGCGCAGCGCTGATGTACTTAATTTGGTTTGTGAAATGTAATTTCTGTGAAATCCTCTCTGTGAGTGTTTAAGAAAAGAAAATGACCCGCTTGATTAGAAATCAGGAAAACGATTCCCCAACTGGAATCTGTTGCCATCTGGCAGTAGACTCTCTTGCAGGTCATTGAACTTCTCTTTGCCTTCCTCATCTGAAACATGTGATCATTAAGAGCCTGACCAACCCTACAGAGGTTAAATAAGAACACAAGAGGTTTGAAAAAGTATAAACATAACTTTTGAAGTTAACTGAAGGCATGCTTATTACCTACATGGCTGACATTTTCTGTTAAACTAAAAAGGTTGTCAGCAAGTACAATGTGGTTCACACTGAAAGAAATTAGGTGGGCTCTTTGGACGTGTGGGGGTGGGGCAGGGAGGCTTTAATTCCACAGCTGAGTCTTGCTTTGTGTTTTTCAAGATCCATTTCCCAAACTTCTCTTCTGAGAAACAACTTTCATCTACCATCAGCCTAGTAGTTTGGACGGCGTTGACCCCTCCTGCTCCAGAAGTGGACATGTGGCCAAGGTCTGACTACTCAGAGCATCCTAGCCTCTGGGGCTACAGGAAGCGCACGTGATTCAAGCCAGCCAATCACAGACACTGAGTTTCAACTCACTGGCTGTTGTTGGAACTATTGAGAAGATCTCCCTTCCACTAGACAGGCTGTGGGCCTAGGATCTCACTCTGACTGGGGGAAAGCGGGCCTGAGAACAATGCCCACAGAGTGAAAAGCAGAGGTGACTCGAGAGAATAAATGGAGTCCTGGTGGCACTTGTGAATCCAACCATCCCTAGAGCCAGCTCCATCCTTGGACCTCTGTTACTTGGGTGCATAGATGCCCCCCCCTTTCCTTTAACTAATTTGAGTTGTATCTCAACCATGAGAGTCTTGACTGATGCATACTGATGTTCAAGAATCTCTACAAAGGTGCCAGGTGGGTACTAGAACGATAGGTGAGGATTGCTTCATAAATTATATAATTGTCTAACCACTGTGGTGTGCACCTGAAGCTAACATAAAATAATATGGAATATGAAATGCAATTAAAAAATAAAAAAAATAATATAATAAATCTCTACAAAGATGAACTACTGTGCCACATGCAAAGCTACATGAATTAAGAAAATGTAAGGTTTAAACCATACCTTTACAAAATCTAATAAAGCCTAGAACCGTTTCCCTGGTAAATACACATCATTGTACCCAGGTGACATATTATAATTTAACAAAGACACAAATTACTAAAATAAAGAAATACTTCATTTTATTTTACTCTTTCAGCCATGAGGTCCAAAGAAATGCAAGTTCTTGGACATTGTAAATGACCCAAATGCAGATCAGACCAGCTTTCGAGGTTGTATGAGATCAGCAGAATGTGACTGTCTGAAGGGAATTCTGGCCTTCTCAGTTTGCCAAGCCAGGTGTACCATGTTGTCTAGCCTATGTACCAATTTCTGCGGTGACTGTCCAGCTTGAAGAGAGTTGTCAGAGAATGGTGAAGCTCAGACAACTGAAACACTTACAGTGACCAAAGCAAAACAGTCAAGAACTACTGGTGCACCACTTAACTAGTAAATCAGAGTAAAGCTCACTAGTCAGTACTACAAGTGTCCTGAGTCATTCCTTGATTTGTTCACTCATTCATTCCTGCATTCAATGAGTATTTATTAAGCACCTTCTGTGTACCAGGCAATGCCCGGTTAAATGCTGGAGTTATAAAGATAAAGATGAAGGCACACACTCTGTCATCGAAGAGCTCCTAATCTTATAGCTCTCAGAGAGATGAGGAAGTGAGAACAACAGTGCATTATGGGAAGTGCAGTTGATAAGTCTGTTCGAAGTGAGGCCAACCAGGAATGCATTCTACTACAGTACAGTCTCCTCAGTAAACGTGTGGCATTCTCCTCCTCTTCAGAATAACACCTGCTTGACATGGCTTTGATCAGTGTTGCAGTTCCAGTGTGACTATGGGGATCCACAGCATTATGACAAGTTACAACAGACCCAGAGATGGTTATCAGGTTCCCTCTGCTGAGCACTTGGGGGACACACAGTTTGTCACTGCAGAGGTGGCTAAACGCTGCTGAGTCTCACCCTTCACTCACTCAACAAGTAGTTACTGGGGAGCCATCGCGGGCTCACCACTCCCAGGTCCCCTCCAAGGCTGTCCAGGTGGGCTGCTCTGCTCTTGGCATGAGCCCTCAAGGGTGGGACACAGGTTTGTGTCTGGAGGGTCCAGGAAGGAGAGTTCTTTGTCTAATTTTTCAATGCAAGCATTAAAAATTGCAAGGCATACATTTTCTGCTGGAAGGACTTGCTTTTCATTCGTCATCTGTGATTTGGGCAAAAAAGGCAGAGTGTGTAGGTCTTGCTTAACAAAGGGCCTGATTCGCCTTCCCTATGGTGGGCAAACATCCAACCACAGGCACTAAAGGAGCAGCAAACAAACTGCCCTCGGTGGCCTCTCCTTTCTCCTCTCTGGGACCTATGTTCTCTTCAACATGTTTACCAGCATAACATGAATTCAGGATGAGAGTATCAACTTCTGAGCCTTAACTGTATTATCAAGTTATGCCAGTGACGATACAGGGTGGTTTTATAAATGGTATTTTTAATGATTTTTCACAGGTTGGCTTTGCAGTTTAGTATTAAGTGAAGTCTCCTTCCCGGAATCTCTTTTCCATGAATGCCCACTTACAAACTGCTAATCGGCAGCAAAGGAAAAGCCTCCAGCTCTGTGAGCAGAACAGAAATTCAAAACTGACATCTGCCACGTTCACTTTAGAGTTAATGTGTACAGTGATATTAAGGCTTTTCAATAGAAGCATTTTGCCTAGTTCATCTAGAAATCAGACTGTCATAGTTAGTGTTAATTTATTAACTAAGTCTTGATGATCACTATAAATTGAATTGTACAAATGCCCTCATGATATAAAATTATACAGCTCATTCTCTAAAAATGCACTTTAAAAATATCCTGATTTTACCTGTTAATAAATTTCTCATTTAGTGTATTTCCAGAAACGACTCACACACAAAGAAATAACAGAACAGAATCTGTAGAAAAATAAGAGCTCTCCTTTTTTCCTTAACATCTTTTTGTGTAATGAATGTGTGAATATGAAAAAGTGTCAGTTTAGAAAATTGTAAAAACATTGCTACAATGCCATAGTGCTCTACATTCTCTAGGAAAACATACCTTTGGAACTAGTACAACTATTGGGAATTCTTAATGAAACGCAAGTCCCGGAGGAGCCACAGAGGCCGGCCACAGGGCAGCTGCATTCAAGCCCTGCATGTCCCCTGCGCCGCTTCTCAAAATCGTCTGCACCTTCCAATGACTAAAATATAATTCTTCTCTCTTCAAATGTCATCGTTGATTTCTGTGGAAATCCTTAGAGTGACACTCTGTTAAAAAATTAAGGTTTAACATAAGGTAAACAATTCCAGTACTGGCTATGAAACTCCCAAAAGTTTTGCTGCACCTAAGACAGGACCTCACTATGGTCTGTGCTGAGTTCGAGTTGGGGCCTCAAGAACTGTCTTGCCTTTCTATACCCTTTTAGCTAATCCCAATTACTTATTTCAAAATGTAGGCTTTTACCTGTGGCCAAATCCGATAGGGTCCCACCTTCTCTTGGCTTTGGGGACATTTTTTTTCAACAACACACTTTTATTTTTTATTATTTTTTAAATTATTTTATTGTTGTTCAATTACGGTTGTCTGCATTTTTTCCCCACCACTCTTCCACACCCCAGACAAACCCACCTCCCTCCCTTGCTTCCACCCTCCCCCTTGATTTTGTCCATGTGTCCTTTACAGTTGTTCCTGAAAACCCTTCTCCCCACTGTCCCTTCCCCCTGCTCTGGTTATTGTTAGATTGTTCTTAATTTCAATGTCTCTGGTTATATTTTGCTTGCTTTTTTCTTTTGTTGATTATGTTCCAGTTAAAGGTGAGATCATATGGTATATTTGTCTTTTACCACCTGGCTTATTTCACTTAGCATAATGCTCTCCAGTTTCATCCATGCTGGTGCAAAGGACAGGAGCTCCTTCTTTCTCTCTGCTGCATAGTATTCCATTGTGTAAATGTTTATTATTTAAAAGATATATTTCCTATTATTTGAAACTAGTAAGTGAGACCTCAAAAAGAAAATAACTAGGATGTATAACTCTAAGCATCAAATGGCAGAGGACATAAGAACATGTCACTGGCTGAAGAGTTGTTTAAGCTGTTTGCCTTTGGGAATGAACTAAGTTGCACAATACACATTTTTTTTTTCAAGCACATAATGGTAAAAAGAAAGAAAAATTGTGCTCTTGTATTTTTATGCAAGAAATTTGCCATGGATTTTTCAAATTCTAATTTGTCAGCAACTTATAGCATTTAAACTGATAAATACCTACCTGGAAATCATGGATGAATGTTAGGAAGTAGAAAATAAAACCGAAGGCCACTGTCCACTCACAGATCGCACTCACCACATGATACGCATAATCCTATTGGCAACCAGAAAGAATAAGAATTTAGCCTCAACTGATTCACTTTAGTGGCTGCACTGAAATAACGATGAGAAGGTCAGACCAGAGGAAAAAGCTGTCTGGTGAGCATCAGTCAACCCCTTGAGGAAATACAGCAAGAAGCAAGGCACCTGCCCAATGAGAATGTGGATGCCATTATTCCAAAAGCACTGTCTAGTTTTCACTGCTCTGGCTTTAAGACTTGTCTATAGCCCTGACCATTTGGGTGCAGTTGGTTGGACATCACCCTGCAAAGTGAAAAGTTACCCATCTGATTATTGGTCAGGGAGTGTTGGAGAGGCAACTGATGGATGTCTTCTTTCTCACATTGATGTTTCTCTCCTCTTTCTCCCTCCCTACCCTTCTCTCTAAAAATAAATAAATGAAATCTTAGAAAAGAGACTTGTCTATATAATTTCAAAAAGCAGAATAAGGACCACAAAACCGGTAGGACTACGAAGCAAATATGGACCCAACACAAGACAGAACTTTCAAACAAACCAGGACTGGCTCTCCAGAGACTGGAAACCCCCAAGTTGAAAGGAATTCAGGGAGTGTGCAGTTTTGCCAAAGACTGAGTATATGTATCTAGAGGAAATAGGCTAATTGTCACCACCGGGTTCTGTGTTATCTGCTGCTACAGAAAATGTCAATTCAGCAAATACTTCTGCTTAACATTATATGTAAACATACCTACAAAGCAAATGTTATGAGACATCTATACATGTTCACTGACTATCTTCTTGGAGGTAGGAAGAAGCAAATGGATGTCAAGAATGAGAATGGCTTTAATCAGAGTTCCAAGGCCAGCTGTTATGGAGGCCAGGAGATTAATAAAAATAAATGAAACTGGTCATTGCAAAAAGAGAGGGAAATGGGGAGCCCACACTTATAGCTCAATTCCACTTTTACCAAGTGGGGAAATATACCACTGTTGTTTTTTTAAAAAGTAAAACCAAAATGTGTGTGTGTGTGTGTGTGTGTGTGTGTGCGCGCGCACATCAGGAGATTTTTAAACACTGGAAACAACTTTTAAACACCATGTAAGTAAAAACTAATGCCTGCATTTCAACATTACACACTGGCCAAATTAGGCCTGTGGACTGCCAGGTCTGATTTCAAATGATGACCTGTTTGGGGTTTTTTCCCCTGCTTTGCTTTCTGCTTTGCTAAAGATCACAAGAGTGAATACACAAATGTGCTGGATTGCACGTCAGTTCTATGGGGACAGTTGTCCTCTTCGATCCAAATTTCATCTGCAAAGATTAACTGAAGCACATCAAACTCCGAGACACCTCTCGCCACTCCCACCATGGACATCACCACCCACCCGCTCTTCTCATTGAGGTCCCGCTAGGGAGAACCTGACCTACTTAGATTAGGGGTTAGAGAACAGAAGTTGCCTCCTTCCTTTGACAACACCAGGGGATCCGCCCCATCCCCTTATCATCCTGGGGACAATGAAGGTGGCTTATAAAATTTCGGCAGAAATTTCTTTAGCATGGTATTAATGAAAGTGCACTGAACCAGAAGCCCAGAGTCCTCCACTGCCCATGCGTGAACGCAGGCATAGCTCTAATCTCCTTGCTACATAAATTGAGACAATGACCTTGTAATTCTTGCCCTCCCTACCAAGTAAATCAATGCACAGGATGGCGTCTCGAGAGCTCTAAAGCAGCACTCAGTAGTTTGAGGCAGTACCCAAATGCTTATTCCATCCAGTGAACTAATGCAAAGGATTATCTTTGCATTTATTGATACTGCAAACAGAGGGTAATCCAAGAATGGCATAGTAATTTAGGAAGTAATAGAAAACCAGGTACTTTTCAGATTTTTAAGATTAAAAGTGAAATGGAAAATAAAAAAGATTTTCATTGCCTAGGGATACGCTTTGATGAATCCTTCCCAGCAGCTGATTTTTGTTTGATTTGTGGGGAAAGGTCTCCCCTCAGTGGTTGAAAAGCAAAGTACACCCGAGGCGGCTCTGCTGCGCGGTCTCACTTCCAGGAAGCACTTTCTTTGAACTTCTGCCTGAATCATTCTCTTCCTCAACATCTTCAGTCTCTCCCTTGTCTGCTGTAGGCTCACATGTCAGAATCCTTCTCTGACCACGCTGTCTCCTGTAGCCTTCATCTTATGTCTCCTCTTCCTCTCACCTCCAAACCTTCATTGACAGCTGAGTGAGTGAACCACTCCTCTTACCATTTCATTAACCCCCAGCAACTGGCTTTTAACTCCAACATTTCTTACTGAAACGGCTTTATAAATACCATCATTAAGTCCACCTGCCCCTTGAAAAAACAGTCCTTTAAAAAAAGAAAAAAAAAACACTCCTTTTTGTTCTCTCCCTAACTCTTCTCTCTGGAGGAATCACCCATTCTCACATGGCATCTAGAGGATCCGCTGTAATTATCTCACGGCAGGAGTCCACTCAAACCCAGGCAGTCAGTCCCAGATGTGGTGGTGCGTGGCCTGGAAATGACCACGCACTCTACGCTCTGGTCACTCTCACTCCAAGAGATGTCTAACCCCATGCGTCTAACTGGACATTATTCCTTGATGTTTTACTACAGCCCCAGATTCAGCAATTCTAAAATCAAATCCATCCACACCTCTTCTTCCATGAAATAATTTATCCCTGTTAGGGAACTGATTTCTCCCTGTTCATGGGAACAAATTCTTTGGTTCACCTAAAATGTCATCTTTTGTTTATCACTCACCAGTGCTCAGCAAATATTTTCTCCCTATTACTTCCAATCAGTCAAGGCTGATCTTGAGTTGAAACCTGAACTGCTTTCTCTGCCATCCTAACTCTGGGCTCTCTCCTCTTCAATCCATCCCAGCCATTGCTTCTTCTTCTCTACTTATTTATTTTTAGAGAGAGGGGAAAGCAGGGAGAAGGAGAGGGAGAGAAACATCTACATGTGATTGCCTCTCTCATGCTCCCAGCTGGGGAATCTGGCCTGCAACCCAGGCATGTGCCCTGACTGGGAATCAAACCAGGGACCTTTCGGTTCACAGGCCTGCCCTCGATCCACGGAGCCACACCAGCCAGAGCAATCCCAGGTGTTGCTTCTAACAAATATTCATCCGCTAATACTCTTTCAATTTACTTCCCTGTTCAAAAGCCCTCAGAGGCTTACTCTGGTCACCAAACTCAAGCATGAGCCTCTCTGTCAACCTCTTAAAGCCTGGAGCAAACTACTCCCCGAAATTGTACCCCTGACTCTATTTATGTCTCAGTCCACCCTGAAGCGAGCTATCCACTTACACGGAAGCTGGTCTTCTCTGGTTCGCACGCAGTCCACGCTGCCCGTGGCGCCCATACCTCTTCACCCACATCGCTCCCCTACCCTTCTCTTTTACTAATCAGAAAGGAAGTGTTTAAGAGAGAACGGGAATTCAAAATTTTGAAACTAATCCCAGGATGCATTTGAGATAACCCAATAGCTAATTATGACACATGAATTGGCAAATAATTAGACAGTGAGTTAATTACATGCCACATTTTACTTCATATTTTGCAACTTGTTCAAAGAAATGACAGTAATTGTTTCTAAGAAGTTCACCCAGCCACAACCTCACGTAGCCAGGTTTTTTGACAAGCATATGGAAAATGACTTAACTCTTACCTTTTCTTTCGGATTCCACTCCAGCTTGGTTATGGAAATTAGGGAAGCACAGACAATCACTAAAAAAGGGAAATTTGTCAAGGAAAATAAGTCCTTCAATGTTAAGACTACATTATTCATCCAATAATATGGTAAGCACAGTGTTAAAATGTTTCACCTCACACCCATTAGGATGGCTACTATTGAGAAAACAGAAAAAAAATGTTGGTGAGGATGTGAAGATATTGGACTCCTTGTGCCCTGCGGGTGGGAATGTAAAATGGGCAGCCACCGTGGAAAACGGTACAGAGGTTCCTCAAAAAATTAAAAATAGAACCACCAGGTGACCCAGCAATTCCACTTTGGGGTATATTCCCAAAAGAATTGAAAGCAGAGCTTCAACATATATTTGTATATCCATGTTCACAGCAGCATTATTCGCAATAGCTAAAACTTGGAAGCAACCCAAGTGTCCGTTGACAGATGAATGGATAAGCAAAATGTGGTCTATACACACACACAGTGGACTATTATTCAGCCTTAAAAAGGACAGAAATTCTGCAATATGCTACAACATAGATGGATCTTGAGCACATTATGCTAAGTGTAATAAGCCAGTTACGAAAACATGAGAACTATGTGATTCTATTTATAGGAGGTACCGAGAGGAGTGAGAACCATAAAGACAGTAGAACAGTGGTTCCAGACAACAGGGGGAGGGGACAATCAGGAGTTGCTGTCTAGCAAGCACAGATTTTGTTTTATAAGATGAATAAATTACGAGTGGAATGATCGTGGCTGTACAACCACTGAACTACACACTAAAGAAGGATTAAGGTGGTAAGTTTTGTTTTGTGTACTTAAACATAATAAAATGTTAATACCAACATTAAAACCTGCAATTAAAACAGGCTATATCAACTTCTTATAACCTCAAACCTTAAATTCAATGATCACAGCAGTTAAATACAATGTGGAAATACAATTATTTCTTAGCAAATGCTTTTTCGGTTATGTACAGCAAAACTTTAATCTGTGGCCACATTTTGCTCAACCCTGCACATCTCCTGATGTACTGTTCCCTGTTATACTCCTTGTCCAAATTTGGTCAAAATGATGGACACAGCAGTCCAAGATGCGTACTTTTTGAGCACCTTTCTCCCAAAATAATGCTTTTCCTGAATAAAAATATAGAATAAAAATACTTGTTTTCCTAAAATACTATCTTTAAGGCAATAGCTCTAAGGAAAAATGAACGTTTCAAAGTATCAAAATAGTATAAAGTACTGTGGCTCATATACAAAAAACAAGCTACAGAAGTCAAAAGACAGATGTCTGTCAAGTAACTCAGTATAAGTTGAGCCCTTCCTCTCAAGCCCCAAGGGTTTTACGAATCGGAGAGATATGCCCTACATCTGACCTTGGAGCCAGCCGAGCAATGCCAGGGCCTTGAGTCTGTGGCCACCGTGGACAGGACTGTCTGCACAGAGGCAATGGCATCTACTTTGATTGAAGGCAAAAGAGAAAGTTAGGAAGAAATGAGATGCTCTAAAAAAGGTTTTGCAAAAATTTAGAAATTCAAGTGTGACATCAATGCCAAGTTTACAGCTTCCTGTGAACTTGGAGTCAGCACCTCCTCTCCCTGCCCCACAACCCCGTATTTTTCAGCACTTAACACTTCTCAGTTTTTCAGAATAAAGGAAGTAGAACATGTAGCAGATTCTCTGGTCTTTCTATGATCATGCTTCTGTTTCTAACAGTTTTAAAGCCTCTTAATTCTTTCATTAATTTGTTTTTTAGTTCCATGTCTGGGGACCAGGGACCATGTTACAAGGGGAGAAGGTAGAGGCAGGGAAAACTCTGGCCAAACGGACTTGGTTTCAGCTCACAGAAACGTCACAATCTTGCTGAAGGAAGCCCAGGGCTGTCCACACCAGAGGGAAGACTAGGGCACAGTGATGTGGCAGAGGAAAAAGAAGCCATTCAGAGTGGAATGGGGTTTGGGGTGTCAGGGGGGCCTTCACGGCATTGAACTTAAACTGATTTATGAAGTTGGAGGAGTCCTCTAGAGCAAAGCTGTCAGAAATACAATGCAGCCCCATGTGTAAAGTTTCCTACCATAGTAGCTGTGTACTAGGCAGTTAGTCACGAGCAGAGTAGGAACAATAGGCCAGGCACGGATGTCACCAGGGCAGAAAGCACCAGGCACCTGGCAACAGAAAAAACTGGGAAAACAAGGACCTTGCCCTCAGGGTGACCCTTCCTCTGGTCTTGTGGTTTAGACCCTCTGACCTTTCATATCGCTGGTCATGCAGTTCAGACCTCCCTCTGACCTTGCCTCCCCTAACATGTCACTCAGCATTCGGGGTAGGATCCCCTCAGAGGAGAAACAAGGGGGCCAGCGAATAGCCTTATGTGACTACCTTGCAGGCCACTCCCTTAAGCATTAAGTCCTTAGGACAATGAGATGCTGACCCACATCAAATGATCTCAGAAGCAGAGCCTCGGATGTGTTGACCGCAGAGAGAGTTTGGTCAAACTAGAGATAACACCTAGGTCTCAGCTGTGTTTCGGCTCCAGGCCCAGAGAAGCAGCAAGGCCAAGAGGGACATCAAGGACGAGCTGTGGTGACTGACGATCCCCTACCCAAGCACTGACCAATCAGTAAAAACCACAACCCTGAAAGGACATACCTAGAAAAGCTGAGGAGTGTTCTGTTGAAATCCTGCCCTGGGGCCATCCCTAAGATCTTTGCCTTTAGAGAGAGGATAAAACCCCTTAGAACAGAGGATCCGGCTCTCTCTCTCTCTCCCTCCCCTCCAGCCTTCCTCCTTCCATCCTTTCCTCTCTCCTTCCAGAGCACCTTGCCTTTCCACCTCTCCTTTCTCCAGTGAGTTCTCTCTGTCTTTTTCCTAAGCTCCAAGGGACCCTTCTTTTGCCTCCGTAACTTGTTTCCTGAGCCCACTCAGCCCAGCTGGCTCCCTTCTTCTGACTCACTTCTTCTACAACCCACTTCTACCCCTATCACCTTCTAAACAAACTTTTGCTTGTATCTGAGGCTTGGCTCTGAATTCTCACTGAGCCAGAACTCAAGTACTGAAGTTGCTGAACTGAGATCCAATTGCTGGTCACATTCCGGTGCCATTTTACCACTAACAGCCACATTTTAAGAAAAGTAAAAAATTTTTTTAAATCATTTAAATAATATAGTTCCTTTAATACAAAAGACCAACATGGTATCATTTCAACATGTAATAATATAAAGAATTATTAATGAGATATTCTACACCACAGCACGTCTCTATGCAGACCAGCCATGTTTCAAGTGCACAATAGCCACGTGTGGCCTGTGGCTACCATAGTGGCTGGAAAGAAAGGGTGGAAGGTAGTACTCAGCCAGGAGAAGGGCAGAGGGTAAAAGCAGAGAACAGGAAACAGCCAAGTCTCGGGGGGCTCAGAGAACGTGTCTCAAGCCAAAGAACCTGGACTTTGTGCTGTTAGTTATTTTGTGAAGGTAATGCTGTCGGAAGTGGTGCAAGACAGTTTACCAGGAAGGGCTTAGAAGCCTAATTCTAAGGTGCCTCGGTTTCCTCAGCCATTCAATGAGGCATGACACAGAAATATTACAGTAAGTGAAGCACAAGTGTTTTAAAGATGTTTTGAAATATTTGTAAGTATAAATCCTATGCTAATGTTTAAGGAAAAAGATGTCTTCATATGAATGAATTAATGTGATACAGGGACATACCCTGTTTCTGTGTAAGACTGCGACCCCTTGGCAAGGCTCATAAGAACCCTCTAGAAATGGGAACTCATAGTATGTGAAACTCTGAGGCCGGAAATGCTTGCTGTACTAACACTCCCTCTGATTTTAATATTTAAAGACCTGTCTCCAGAGTTGGAAGCAAGAAAAAGTTTCCTACATCAAGAAACTTTGCCTTTAACACTACAAACACCTCTGCTCTGAATTTTACAACTAAAACAAGCTAAAGGTCTGAAGGAAATATATTCGAAGAGAAAGCATGAATGTCTCCAACCCACAAATAGAACAAGAAAACTCAGAAAGAACCATATAAAGAACCAGGGTAGATATTTTGTAGTTAAACTTCTCAACACTAGGATTTATTTCCTCTGTGCTTAGAAAGTTTGTAATGAAAAACTTCCTTCCCTAAGATGAAAACCAAACCAAGCCCCAAACCATACACAGACTTCACATTTTGTTTCGCTTCTATTTGAAAAGTGCAATGCAAAGCTCAACATCGGAAGCACATGGGATGCTACCACATGAGCTTGCCCACTTCATACCATCATCCAACGCACACTGACAAAATGGCCACTAGAACAGTTCCCATTTGCCTGTTACATGAGAGGAATTACCATTTTAATGACCCTGCATTTTTCTCTGATATGAGTGCAGATGGTATTTCGAAAGATGGGGAATTTTCCACCCCTTGAAGACCAGAACTTTTTTATATTATGTGTTAAATCCCAAGAGAGAGGATGAAAGCAAGAGGGCTTTCATTTCCTCTAAATCAGAGCATACAAGTCTGATAAACTTATATTTCTTTCTCACACTGCTGAGTTAGAAAACGAAATTTTGAAAATGAAATCAGTAATAAAAAGGAAAGGCTACATGTGTTTTAATTGACTTAAAAGTCAATATAGAGCTTTTAGAAACCTCTTAATGTGGACAAGGAAGTCAACTCATCTAGTCACCTTCGTGCAGGGAGAGGGGAGAGTCTGGCCCTCTTGGGACTTCACAGGGCTATTACTTTAAGTACAATGCCAATATTTGGTGTCTCTAACCAAGCACTCCAAAGAAAGATAAATATTTTCCCATAGCTGGTGAAGCCGACCCTGTTGGAAGGAAAGTAAATAAAGACTGAAGTTTTCCGAGATTTTTTCCATCCTCCTTTCATAACATTCTTTTCCCTGGAGATTCTTTTGATCTAACCTGACCCTGTTGAGACATTTTTCTTAATGATTTACACTTTTCTCCCCGTGGTTCTTCTTCTGAAGCACATGGAAACTTGGCTGTTAACCTTTGCTTTTTTTTCATGCTTTTTTTCCTTTTGCTGGGGGCAAGGTACGGGAAGGCGTCAAGCTTGTGAGGACACTGACAAGTGTGGAAAGGATACTGGGGATGACCGCCGCACAGGAAATGGCAGAGATGGCCATCCGTACGTGGCACGTGGACAGGCTGTTCCACTGAGGACACGACTTGTAGGAGATGATGGACTGCAGGAGCGTGTACATCACACCGCAGACAAAAGCCAGCAGGGCGCCGCCATCATGGACCACCGGGACAGCTAACTCCTAGAGAGAAAGTCACACGTGTGCGTTACTCCACATGAGCCTGTCCACACCGTGATCCAAGCGCTCACGCGCTCCAGGCTATTCTAAGCCATCTGTTGTCACAGATGTATCCACCTGTGACAGCTTTTACACAATTACCAAGAGAAAAGCCTTCCCCCATGATGATGTAAATGTCCCACAGTAAATTTGGGCATGTGGGACAAGGACAGAGTAACATCAACCTTAAAGGTGGCAGCGTGGTGTTGAGTGGGCTTTGGAGCCTGGCTGACCTGGATAAAAAAAAAAAATTATCTTGACTCCACCACTGGGGTCTGTGACCTGGGTTTAAAACCTCAATTTCTGACCTGTACAATGAGCATAACAATGTCTGCAGTGCAGGTTTGCAGTGCAGGTTATCTGACCAAGTGCATACAAAAGTACATAAAGGTGCCAAGGGGGACTCGGTGTTTTTAGGCTCCCTGCTCCTCAATAACGTCTTTGTCCCTCCCAAGCCACCCCAATGAACACACAGTTCTAAGTAAAATCACTGCTCTTGCAATGCACTGACAACTTCAAATCAAGTCCTGGCCCGGGCACCCCAGCCATTTCAACAGGGAAGCAGCCCTACACCCGGTCTAGGCAGAAAGTTGGCTGTTGCCCCCAAGTGTGGTCATAACTGACCCACTAATGAGCTCACATTAGGCCCTTCTCAAGTGTTCAATGGGCACTCACCTTCCAGAACAACAATGATGTTTAGCCTGAATGACTGAGTCTCTACTTGAACTTAAAAATTTGAATTTTTCAAAAGGGGAAGTTAAAGTATTGTCCAAGAAAGCCTCTTTTGGGCCCCAGTTCCCTGTCCACCAACTTCTCTTTGACCACCCAAGTTTCCACAGACCTACCATGTTCTCTGTTCAGACTGTTCAGAAAAAAAGTATTAAGTATTGGCTCCCTATTTTGATACAGCCTAATCTGAATTTCTTTTGGCTCAAATGGGCTCTTTTTAAAAAATCTTTATTCTTCAAATGGGAAAGGGAGATTTTTGAAAAAATATTATTTTTCAGGTATCAAAGCTAGAAATATAGGAACTTGAAGCTAGAAACTTGATTTGTGTTATAGTTAAATAAAAGTGCATGAACATTTTACAACAGAACATAAATTGTTCCCTTGTTAGGTATATTCTGTATAGGTAGGGTATGTATAGATTTAGGAAAGTTATACATGAAAAATAAAATATATTCTATGCCTTCTAAAATGTAGATATACCTTTAAGTACTTGAAGAATTAAGAAATATTTTGAACTGTATTGAACTTTACACTTAAAAATGATTAAGATGGTAAATTTGATATTATAGGTATTTTATCACAATTAAAAAATAATAATAATTGAAAGGAAATGAAATCACTACCTCAAAAAAATATCTGTACCCCATGATCATTACAGCATTATTTATAATAGTCAAGACATGGAGACAACCTAAGTGTCCATTATATAGACACACACACATAGTCTACCATGGAATATTATTCAGCCATAAGAAAAAAGAAAAATCTTGCCATTTATTAACAACATGGATAGATCTGAGGGCATTATACTACTAAGTGAAATAAGGCAGAGAGAGAAAGACAAATGCTGTATGATCTCACTTATAAGTAAAATCTTTAAAAGAAAACTGAACTCATAGATACAGAAAACAGATGGGTGGCTACCAGAGGTGTGGAGTGGAAGGGTGGGGAAATGGGTAAAGGTGGCCAAAAAGCGAAAACTTCCTGTTAAAGGGCAAAACTTTTCATTTATATCATGTATAGCATACTGACTATATTGAATAAAAGTATATTTTTGAAAGTTGCTAAGAAAGTAAATCTTTTTTCTTTTATTTTAAGAGAACAAATCTTAAAAGTGCTCATCATAAGAAAAAAAATTGTAACTATGGGAGATGGTGCATGTTAACTAAACTTACCGTGTTGATCATTTCACAATCCATGCATATATGAAACCACTGCTACACACCTGGGACTAATATAATGTTATTTTTTTAAAAAACAGTAAAAAACCCAATCAAGGAGAGAAAAGACCTGTACTCAGAAACCTACAGAACATGGAAGAAAGAAATTAAGGAAGACGCAAATAAGTGGAAGCATGTAACATGTTCATGGATTGGAAGAATTAACATCATTAAAATATCCTCACTACCCAAAGCTATTTAAAGATTCAGTGACATATTTCACAGATATAGAACAAACATTTCAAAAATGTATATGGAACCATAAGTGATCTGGAATAGCTTCAGCAATTTTGAGAAAGAAGAACAAAGTAGGAGGGATTACAATACCTGATATTGAACTATATTACAAGGCTACTGTAATCAAAACATTCTTGTACTGGCATAAGAACAGATACATAGATCAATGGAACAGAATAGAAAGCCCAGAAATAAACCTATGTCTCTATGGTCAATTAATATTTAACAATGAGGACAGAAGCATAAAATAGAGTAAAAATAGCCTCTTCAATAAATGGTGTTGGGAGATCTGAACAAGTACATGCAAAAAAATGAAACTTGATCACCAGTTTACACCATACACAAAAATAAACTCAAGATAGATAAAAGGCTTAAATATAAGTTATGATACCATGAGAGTCCTACAGGAGAACATAGGCAGGAAAATTTCAGATGTCCCATCCAGCAATATTTTCACCCATATGTCCCCTAGAGCATAGGATATATATAAAAGAAAGAATAAACGAATGGGACTACATCAAGTTAAAAAGCTTCTACACAGCTATAGAAAACATCAGCAAAATGAAAATGGAACCAACCATATGGGAAAATATATTTGCCAATAATACCTTGGACAAGGGTTTGATCTCAAAAACATATAAAGAACTCACACAACTCCACACCGGGAAGACAAACAATCCAATTAAAAAGTGAGAAAAGGATCTGAACAGACAATTCTCCAAGGAGGAACCACAGGCATATGAAAGGATGCTCAGCATCACTAGCCATCAGAGAGATGCAAATTAAAACCACAATGAGGTACCACTTCACACCGGTCAGAATGGCCTCATAAACAAATCAACAAACAATAAGTGCTGGCAAGGATGTGGAAAAGGGAACCCTAGTGCTCTGTTGGTGGGAATGCAGACTGCTGTGGCCTCTGTGGAAAACAGTATGGGATTTCCTCAGAAAACTAAAAATGGAACTGCCTTTTGATCCAGCAGTTCCACAACTAGTATTATACCCTAAGAATCCTGAATTACCAGTACAAAAGAACCTATGCACCCCAATATTCATAGCAGCACAATTTACAACAGCCAAGTGCTGGAAACAGTCTAAATGCCCATCAATAAATGAGTGGATCAAAAAACCAGTACATTTACACAATGGAATACTAGGCAGCAGAAAGAAAGAAGGAGCTCCTACCCTTCTCAACAGCATGGATGGAAGTAGAGAATATTATGCTAAGTGAAACCAGCCAGGTGGTGAAAGACAAATACCATATGATCTCACCTATAAGTGAAACATAATCAACAAAACAAACAAGCCAGCAAAACAGAACCAGAGACATGGGAATAAAGAACAAGCTGACAGTGACCAGAGGGGAGTGGGGAGAAGGATAACAGAGGAAACAAGCGGAAGAGTCAAGTCAAGGAACATGTATATAAAGAACCCATGGACAAGGACAATGGGGGGGAAGGTAGGATTGAATGTGGGAGGGGGAGCGGGTAGGGCAGGAGCAATGAGGGGGAAGGGGACAACTGTAATTGAACAACACTAAAAAAATTACAAACATAAGAAATGTTTTAAAAAACAGTAAAAAAATTAAGAAAACAAATCCTTTCTACTCCTTGAATGTTAGGCACATTTGGTCAAGGGAAATAAACAAAAAGCAAGGCATATACTGCTGAGTCATTTTCAAGCATAATCGTCTGAGAATCCTAGTTCTTTCCACTCTCCATTTTTTTTCATGCTAAGTAAGTCAACGTTCTGAATTTACATGCTATTTTTTTCCTCCCGCCAGCACTGTCAGGGAATTGGCTTCTTCAGCCCAGCCCAAGTCAACACATCCTTTAGAAAATTAATCTGCAAACTGGCCGGCCCCCACATTAACACTGCCAGTTCAGATCAAAAGGTCCTAGAGCCCTGGCTGGTGTGCCTCAGTTGGTTGGAGTGTTGTCCCATAACTGAAAGGCTGGGATTCAACTTCCAGTTAGGGCACATACCTAAGTTTCGGGTTCAATCCCTGGTCTGGGCACAAAAATTCCCATTTCAAGCACACACGGAAGGCAACTGATGGATGCTTCTGTCTCTCTCGCTCTCTCTCTCACACACACTTTCTCTCTCTCTCTACAAGCAACAAAAAGATGTCTTGGGTGAGGAAAAAAATTCTTTTTAAGGCCTTTGATTGAATGGGAGTTGTATTTGTAATGTGCCTTTTTCACTGTGGCGTGCATGCTTTGTCATCAAAGATGCCTTTTGAAAGCGAATGATTCCGAGATCAGGCATGAATCTTAGATAGAAGATAAGATGAATACTTAGTGCCCATTTTGAATCCCTTTTTCAAAACACTTTTGTTCATTGAAAAGAGAGTAAAAATAGAGTGTTATGCTTTGAAAAACCTGACTTTTCAAAGATGGAAACTTGCCGAGGAAAATTACAGCATGGACAGAAATTGGTGAGGACGTACTGAAGAGTAGCCATCCCACCCACCAGCTCAGGAAAGGGAGCTGTCCTCGAACTCCTGATAAGTGCAATTTAGTTCCTACTCAGGAAAAACCACCAGAGTCGATGCTCTCTCTCACCCACAGATCTCTAACTCTTCTCAAGGTAACAGCTCAAGCTGGTCTGCTCACAGCATGCAGAAAATGAATTACAGGATATCAAACAAGGAAGTTGTAAAGCTATTTATGGGAACAATGACAAGGCAAACACTTTGGTCTCAGGAAAGCTACTGACTCTATTTCTGGTTTTTGTAAAAATGTAATCACGTCATGGAAGCCTTAAAGAGAACCAAGAGTTCAATCATCTAACCATCCAAGTTTTCTTCTGAAAGTCTGCCCTTTGTGGCTTCAAAATCGACAGGTGTGTCATGAAATTGAGTGATTTGGAGAAGAAAGTGATTAGGATATCAGACAGTGCATGGTACCCCCTACTGAACAATTCAGATCCACATTCTACTAGACAAATGATATCCTTCCAGGTCTCTCCACTCCTTTTTTTTTTTTTTTAATTGTGCTTTCTGATGCTAGAACTCGGGATTGTGGCACGCTTTTTCCTCCCAGAGATTTCTTCATTGTAGCATTGAGGTTAACTTTTTTCTACAGGCTCTAGACAGACTGCTTCGCTGCAAGGGCCACTTCTGCCTTTACTGCTCATATGATCTTGGGTAAGTATTAACTTCTCTGGGCTTCCACGATGCCATCGAAAATGAGAGAAAAATTACACCACTATCTTCTAAGGTCGTTATTAGAATTTTATGAGTTAAAATATATGAGTTAAATTATGTGGGTGAATGCTTTCACAAGTCTGTCACATAGAAAATTTCTAATACAGGTTATGAAAAAAATGCACACAGGCATAACGCATAAGGAAATGTCACAGAGTCTCTGCTATGTGGCCAATGTCACATGCAACCATGCATTGCAACATGATGTATCTGATGTCACCATGTAGGGACAATATGACAGGAGACTGAGCTCTCTCTCTCTACACCAGCTATTTTCAACTGGTGTGCTGCACAGGTGTGCCACAAGAATTTTTAAAGTATGCAATACCTAACTATTTACTCAGGAGCACTGACCTCTTTTCCCTTAGATTGTCCAATAAAAAAATGACAGGAGCCAACACAATGAAAGCCTTCCCATGTGAATGAATCAAAATTACATCTGTTTTTTTTGTGTGTGTGTCAGACTGGCAAAAAAATAGATTTCTGGGTGTGCTGCAGAATTTTAATAATTAGTTTCTGTGTGCCATGAGATGTAAAAGGTTGAAAATCGCTGCTCTGTACCAGAGACCTAGCCTCTCCCTGACAGTCTGCAGTGCCAGAGGCAGCAGAAGACAGTAGCTAGAGATAATATTCACACAGTACAGACCTCTGGCTGGTGAAAGATAACATCTTGACCTAAGTTATGTTTCAGTTCCTGAGCCCGAAGATGGAAAGACCCCTGGCTACTTTCCCATGCGACCGGACAGGACTCTGGAACAGACCGCAGAACTATCCTCAAGACCTGAAGAAATGATTCATGACCTTCACCTAATCTCCAACCAGCTCTTAGCACAACCCAAACCCTTAACCCATGCTGTCTTGCGGTTTTACCTTACATAATCTGTAACAGACACGCCGTCGGCGAGTTGGTTTGTTTAGAGGATGAGCCCCCTGTCTCAGTACTGGCCAATTCAACATTAAACTAGTTTTTTCTTTGTAAAAAAAAAGCACGAGAATAGGAAAGTAAAATGGAGCCAGAAGCAAATTGAATTAACAAAATACCTTCCATGAAGCCCTCTACACTTGTTTCAGGAAGGCTACAAGTTTGGTTCTTACCTTTCTAGCTCTCCATGTGAACAAGGTCACTACTAATTACAGGTTAGTAATACCCACAAGTGGACACTAATTGGCCCTGAGAACTGACAGTATATCCCAGCCCACAGGCTGTCCTGAAGACACTGTAACTTGAGGAAGGGTGCCTTCCCCTCAGCCCTCATGACACAGCACAGAGTTTCCCAGAGCGCTTGACTATAACGTCCCCTCCCCTTCCACTAACAGATGGCATCCCTGTGAGCCGTGCGGAATAGGTGGTTCTACGAGGCCCCACATGGGGCAGATGAGACAGAGGACTCTGTGACAATGGTCCACCTTCACGGAGGAATGGACATTAGCAAATGAATGGAAAACAATGGTGTGGGTGCCGGTCTGTGCTTATTTATTATCCTCACGGATCAATACTGGGGTGTAGCACCCCCGGGGCTGCTGCATCATTGTGAGGATATGTACATCAGTAGTGGACTAGCAATAAAGACTGACACCATTTTGTACAAATAAGAATCACAAAAGATTAACCCACTTCTGGTGGGAGAAAAGTTAAAGGTGTACCCCTGGGCCGAACAAGAAGTCGTCCTGAGTAACTTCCTTTCTGCTGCCGCAGGACAGAACAGTGATGGAGAGAGCAGGACCGCTCTAGTGTTAGCCTATAATGATGGACCTGGGATGACTGTGACAGCCACCAAGTGCAGACCACTGGTCACGGTACGTTATCTCAGCCAATCCTTGCAATTCCCACAACAAATGTCTTTTAAAAATATTAAACATTGTCTCCATAGATAAATAAATGCACGCTTTCTGAAAAGAGACTTTGGGATGATAGGAATCCACAAATTAGAGTAAAACGAGTGGGGGTTTTTTTCCAAACACTTGACATGGTGAGTCTCTACTGAGCAGACTCCGCAGTTGTCATCATGTAAGATAGTCGGCTCCAGTGGGGCCACATTTTGGCTCAGCAACTAATTATCTGAGGCACCCTGAGCAAATGATTTCACTTCCATGGGCCTATATCCTCATTCGAGAAAGAGAGGAGGTGCCGCTATTTGAATTGAACACCAAAAGTTAAACCACAGAATCAGTACACACACACACACACACACACTCGTACACAGACATCTCACACTCTTGATGAAATCATTACAATGGCTGAAGTAGCTCTCCCAACACATCAACCACGTCGATAAGAACACGGAGCGATGTAACGCCCATAACGTCATTCAAAGCACACTCTCTGTCACGATCATGCGTGATCACGCACACATCCACCCCATCACTCCCAAGTACCAGGCAGGACTGAATTTCAAATGGTATTTGTTTCTAAAAAGCAAATTACCCCAATTGTTATAAACCCATCAACTATCTGATAGCTACACTGGCACAGGCATGGCTGTTGTGCTGTTGCCTCTCTCTTCCAGACACACAAACTCCATCACCACCAATAGCAAAAACAATTTCAGGTCATACCTGAAAATTGGCAACAATGCCCATTCCGATACATCCCACCAATCCCAGAACTAAGGACACCAGGTTAAAAACAGGAGTGCTGAAATAGCTGGTTTGATTCTGCTTTTCCACTATTTTGTATCTTGTGTACATTGTGGCTGCACCTGAAAAAGAAAGGTACAGTAGTGAATTGTTATTATTTGACCATTTAGAGTGAAAAACATAGAAATGGCTTTGTAGTGCTATTTTTTACTGTGTGTCTTCAATCTCCTAATTGCAATAGTCTTCCCACTCACCCGCTCCTGCCCTTCCTCATCCTATCATGTTCCCTACCCAGTGTGATGGGTACACACACCATTTTAGCTGTTATCCTTTTCTCACAAATGTGAATTTACCTTATAGAGAAACTCACATATATATGCAAAGATATATTTAAAAGGATATTTGCTTTAGCATTGCAAATTCCAAAATCAGAAATAGCCTAAATGTTTAACAACAGGGTACTGATTAAATGAAATGTAATACACCCATGAAATCGATAACATGCATGTGTTAAAAGAATAAAGTAGATTTCTATGTACTGAAATAATGTGATGGCCATAATGTTTGTGCTGGACTTTAAAAAGCAGGCTAAAAACTAATCATATATCATAGATTTTTAAACAAAGATACGTCAGATTCTACCTTGCCTAGGAGCAAAAATCTATTTATCACTTGCTGGTAACGAAACAATCTGTCTTCTAAATCTGGATGCTGGACAAGGATAGTGTGAGAGGGCACTTGAACTGATGGACTATTTCTACTTCCCCTCGCTCACCCCACAACCTTGGGAGCAGAAGACCACAAATGGGGTCAAACTTTCTCTCTGCTAAGCAGGATGAAAAAATTCCAAAGGTGCCAAGTCACTAAGTAAAGCTTCCAGTACTTCTGTCCCTTCCCACCTATACCGATAGAGAGGGACAGAAGGGCTGGTTACATAACAGGCCCTTGGCAAACACTTAATTTTCTGTGGGGGTTCCTGAAAGGACAAAGAGAAAGAGCCCCCCTCTCACATCTGTAGATGTGTCCTGCCATCGGCATCTCAGGGGCACTTGAGGAACTGAAGAGAAACATCACACCTGAGTTGGGGACAAACTTCCCCACTTCCCCTCTCCCCTCTCTCTAACAGGTGAGACAACACCTTAGTCCATGGTTCGCAAGCTTTAGTGAGTATGCAAGTCCCCTAGATGGCTGGTTCATGGCGCATGCGCTTGGGCCACACTCCCAGAGGTTCTGATTGAGAAGATCTGTGGTGTGGCCCCGGAACCTGCATTTTCACCAGCACCCCGGTGATTTTCGTGGGCGTTGCCTTCAAAACACAGTCTGAGAAACATCAGCTTAGACATTGGCTAAGACATTAGCTTAGTCTTTGCGCCTTACACAAATATGTTGGATAAAACCCCCAATTTTTAAAATCAAATTACATTTAAAATCCACTTGATAATCTTGTGGTAAATTGCCAGGTGAATTGAAAAGTAGTGCTATGAGGGCATAAGTAACTTTAGATTTCAGTTTATATTAGTTTCTCAAAGTAGAGCAAAGCTGTGGTTGCATAAGCTGTACTTTTAAAAAATGATACACACCAAGGATGAATCTTGATGTAAACTATGGACTTTGGCTGATTCTGAGGAGTCGGTGCAGGCTCATCAACGAATGGACCACTCTGGTGGGGGATGCTGATAACAGAGGAGGCTGGGGGAGGGAACGGACTATACGGGCATCTTTACCTGTGAGTTCATTTTGCTGCGAGCCTAAAACTGTTCTAAAAAATGAAGTCTGTTAAAAAGATAATGATTAAAAAAATCATACATCCACGGTGAAAAACATATTTGCCTTCCTTTAAGATTGTATATTTTTCATTTATTTATAATAATTATCGTGTACTTACCAAGAAATGCAGAGAAGTTTATCATAAATCCAAAAATTCCACTCTCTGGAGGTGTTGTTCCTGTATCACTGAGAAAGAGAGTAAATACCCGAGTTATTAAAAAGGAATTCAGTTCTGACCTGTGAGCAGGCATGTCGTTGGCAGGTTTTATAATGTGTCTCTTCTGGGTGTTTAGTCACTTTGAATTCCAAAGATTTTGGCCTGATTTTGTTCTGAAATGTTTTCTTTTTGCCTCTGAAAAAATCTACGATTCTTTTTTTCTACCATTTTTTTAATTGTAAAAAGCTAGGAAATGCTTAAAGTGAATGGTGGTGGTGTTTCTGAAATGGTCAAGCTCAATAAACTTGACTGATTATGTGTCCACTCTTAGTGGAGAGCTGAGTGTGACTATTTTGGGGGAAATGGTCTAAAGTCACATTTGAAAAATCTATAATTGGAATATTAAATATCCATAAACACATTAAATTTTTTTAAATAATCTGATTTGTGCACAAGCTTACAGTGCTGAAAATGTAATCATGAAGAGCTGAACTATATTATTGATATGCATCAATACTTGGGAAGAATAGTGTGTTAAGTGTATACATTAATTGTGATAAATTATTTTAACAAAAAAAATCATTTCTATAGAACATTTTTCAGGTGCAGTCTACCAATTCAGTCATTAAATGAGCTGGAAAGTAGTGTTTGACAGGTTCTGTCTGCTATTGATCAATGCCAAGGTTTAAATTTTTACATTGCCAAGCTGCCCACATGAAGCAACAGTTGAAACTGATGACAAATGACCTCTCAATAGGAAACAACTCGTACCCATCTTGAGTGTTTCCATGTTTTAAAACAGCCCTGAAATATACATATTGAAAGACTGACCACCTTGAGAAGATGCACTTTGAAGTGTTGGAAGAATTCCACAAGAAGCCCGTGTGCCCAGAAAGCAGCAGCCTTTACAAACGCAGTGTTTGAAGAGTAGAGCGTGCACTGCAGGTGGTACTCTGGTGTCTCAGCCTTGCCCAAGTTCCAGTCTCACCAGGTCCCAGCCCCTCTGGAGTCCCAGCTCCATCACCTGCCCAACACCCCACAGGCACGCAGGGAGCCTGGGTGCTGCTGTTGCTGCTGTTGCTGCTGCAGTGGCTCTCCCTGGGCATCACCCCGGGTGAGGAGGAAGACCCAGCCTACTGGAACCGCCAGACAGCCTAGGCCCCGGACACCACCAAGAAGCTACAGCCCACCCAGATGGCTGCCAAGAACCTCATTATCTTCTTGGGGGATGGGAATGAGGTATCCATGACAGCAACTCAGATCATAAAAGGACAGATGAATGGCAAGCTGGGACCTGAGACCCACCCCCCATCCTTCCCCCAGGCCAACCACGGACCAATCCCCATACATGGCTCTGGCCAACACATACAATGTGGACAGACAAGTGCCAGACAGCACAGGCATGGTCACAGCCTTCCTGTGTGGGGTCAAGACCAGCTTACCAGACCATTGGTGTGAATGCAGCCACCTGATTTAACCAGGGCAACACAACACATGGCAATAGGTCACCTCTATGATGAACTGGTCCAAGAAGGCAGGGAAGTCAGTGGGCGTGGTGACCACCACGAGAGTGCAGCCTGCCTTCTCAGCGCACACACCTATGCACACACCGTGAACAGAAACTGGTGCTGATGCCGACATGCCCACCCCCACACTGAGGGAGGGCTGTCAGGACATCTCCAACACGCAGGTCAACATGATCCTGGGCAGAGGCCACAAGTACGTGCCTCCCAAGGGAACCCCAGACCCGGAGTGCCCTGGTGATGCCAGACGGAGTGGAGTCAGGAAGGGCAGGAAGAACCTGGTTCAGGAGCGGCAGGCCAAGCGCCAGGGTGCCTGGTATGTGGAACCGAACACTGCTCATTCAGGTGTCCTGGGACCCCTCTGTAACACATCTCATGGGCTTCTCTAACACAGAGGACATGAAGTATGAGAGTCACTGAGACCCTGAGCAGGACCCAACCCTGATGGAGATGACAGAGGTGGCCTTGTGCTTGCTGGGCAGGAATTCCCGAGGCTTCCACCCCTTCATGAGGGGGTTCTCACTGACTATGGCCATCCTGAGGATGGAGCTTACCTGACACTGACTGACAGTGCCAATTTCAGTGATGCCTTTGACAGGGATGGCCAGCCAGCTCACAAGTGAGAAGGGCACACCAACCCTGGTCACTGCTGACCACTCGCATCTTTACTTTTGGTGGCTACCCACTGCGGGGCAGCTCCATTTTCTGGCTGGCTGCAGAGGAGGCCTCAAATGGCAAGGCTTACACCTCCCTCCTTTAGGGCAATGGCCCGGATTTCTCACTCAGCAGGGGCTCCCAGTCCAATGTCAGCGACAGCCAAGGCAGCGACCCCAAGTACCAACAGCAGGTGGCTGGGCCCATCTTACAAAACCCATGGGGGCGAGGACCTGGCAGTGTTCGTGCTTGGCCTGCAGGTGCAACTGGTGCACCAGCTCTGCAGGAGCAGAACTTCGGGGCACACATCATGGCCTTCTCCACCTGCCTGGAGCCCCTACACTGCATACACCCTGACAGCCCCAACCAGCTGTGCCCCGGGCTGCTTATGCTGCTGCTGCTGGGGACCTCACGCCCTGACCACCCCACCCTCCACTCCTGGGTCCCCCACTGCATTGCTGAATCACTCTCCAACCCAGGGTTAAACCTCCCCCGGACCTTAAGCCTCAAACCCAGAATCCACCTCAGGCCCCTACATCTTGACCTTTGCTTGCTGGCATAAATGAGCCTCAGCTGGCACAGTGCTGTCCCCACCTTTCCCTGCGGTGGCCAGACCATGGGGTACCTTGGAGTCTGAAGCTGCTCTGGACTCCCTGCCCCCAACCTTAGCTACCCAACATTAGGCACTTGGCACCTTGGGGCCCCTCAGGGTGGATGGTTTCCTGTCACCCTGCAACCAACCCTGTGGGCACCTTGCTGGCCCAGGGGGCTGCTGGGGTCAGATATCCCTGCACTCTGCCTGGGCCTGGTACTATTACAGAGGAAAAGATGGAGACACAGAAAGGAGAGAGACCTGTCTCAAGTCACTTGGCTACTAACGTGGTCACTCCCAATGCCCATCCAGGCTGGGAAAGCCAAGGAGCTCCATGAATTTCTGGGTGCAGGGCAGACAGCCCTGGAGTAGCCCTTGCTCCCACCCCAAGGCCATGTGGGTGCTGGCCTTGGACTTGGGAACAGATTCCCTGCCCTCCCCCAGATATCTATTCTGGGAGGGACACAGGAATAATTAAATAAACTGCTACACAATGTAAAACATATATATTAATATATACATATATGTAAATATATATATTTAAAGAGTACAAAAGTTTAATATTCCCCCTTACAACAAATACGTCTATTCTCAATTATTTTAGTCTGAAGTGTTCAGAATTTAACATTACCATTTTTCCTACAAAACAGCCATTTTCTCACTAAAGAAATGTTGAGGTGGAGAAGGCTGTAGAGGAAGACGGCCTTCTGAGCACACAACAGGACACCTAGTGGGCGAGAGGAGGGGGCTGGAACCGGAAATGGGAAGAAGGTAGTGACAGCTCAGTATCCTTGGACAGAACTTTTGCTAGAAAAATTCATTCTCTCAGGGAAATCAAGCCTTCTATTCTTGACCTCAGGGTATAAAAAAGCAGCTACCAGGTGAGCCATGCATAAGGACAGGTCTAGAATAATCTGCCATGTGCCAGAAAAAAACTGTTTGCCTGTCTGTGGAGAAAGGGAAAAACAGAAGGGTAGGGAGGATATGGAGGGGGATGGGTAGTTGGGGGACAAGGGTGTTCTACCAGGAGATGAGAGACCAGACTCAGGGACTATCTGTCCAAACACAGCAAACCCAGATGTATGTCAAGGGTTCAGAGGTGCAATCTACATGACATCAAACAGGCAATCTGAAAGCTCAGAATTTCAGAATGGTGTTTCATTCTTTTTTATCTGTACCTTTAAAATCATACAGGCAGAATCAGCCCTGGCTGGTGTGGCTCAGTGGATTGGGCGCCAGCCCATGAACCCAAAGGTCCACCAGTTTGAGTCCCAGTTAGGGCACATGTCTGGGTTGTAGGCCAGGTCTCTGACTGGGGGCGAGAGGCAACATCTCTCATGCATTGATGTCTCTCTCCCTCTCTCTTTCCCTTCCTCTCTAAAAATAAATACATAGATCATTTAAAAATAAATAAAAGCAAACTATATAGGCAGAATCAAAAGTGCTTTGCAAACAGTCATTCCACATGTATTTTTTGAATGAATGACTATCAGAACTTGCAAAAAAGTGACCTAATAGATACATACCACTTACTGAACATTCACTATGTACAGGCACCATTAGATGCTCACGGTACATCATCTCATGTCATCCTCACAATCTTGAGGTGGGTCCTACATCAACCTCATTTTACTACGGAGAAAATTGGCTATTAGTGAACTTACATACCTTGTTCAAGGTCACAGAGCTATTGCATAGCAAAGTCTATATTCCAATCTGGATGTCTGACTCCGAGACTTTCCTGCCTTCACTGCGCTCTACAGCAAGGAGGAAGAAGGCAACTAGAAGAACCCTGGTGGTAGAGTGAAGAACAAACACTGATATGCTAGTAAATGCTTAACAACCTGCTCTAGAGGAAGCCTGACTTGGGGCACATTTCCATGGTATAAATACTCCCAACACTTCAAAATCCAAGCGACCAAAATGTAGGTCACTGAACGTGGAGTTGGGAAGCAACGCACACAGTTGGCTCCAAGCAGCACTCACCAGCTGGCTCCTGGGAAAGAACCGTGATGATGGGGAGAAGGGATCATCACGCTTTTGCTGTGTACTAGGAAGGTGTCAAGCAGGCAAGGCCTCAAAGCTCCCCAAATGCCATCATTGAATTATAAACATCTTTAACAGATATTCAGTGTCATAGTAAATCTGATCTTCTTTTAGAATCCTGAGTTCACAACACTTCCCTCAACGCATGTGGACCAACCAGACTACTTTCCTATACTGGGCACTGCAACATAGTCCGTGCTGACACCAAAAAGTT